ACACACACACACACACACACACACACACACACACACACACACATGAGTCCCTCTCCCTCTCATTGATGCTACTTATGTGTTCAGGTAATTCTTTTTGTGGGAAAGGCATTGTCTTTGTGAAGGTGGTTTAGTGTCATTTTTGATCTCTGCTCATTATAGCCTAGTAATTGTTCCTCCCCCCTATAAGCTATAAAACAAAAATAAATACATACATTCTCAAACATTGCCCAGGGGATGTTGTTTCCTTTTGAGAACTATAGGCTTTTACTTAGGAATATCTAACATCCATCTGTCTGTGTGTATCTATATATCTATCATCTACCAGTCACCTATCCATCCATCATCTTTCCATCATCCATCATCTGTCTGCCATTTATCTCTCACAAGTAATTGCTGTATAAGGCAGTCAAGCCTAGCATCACAGTTTTCCTTTAGAGCATCCTCATAGGAAAGCTGTGCCACCATCACTTTGCCTCTAGAAGCTTGGCTGGTCTACTGTTTCCAAAGGGCAATGAGAATGGTTTTATGAACTGAAACAGTAACTGGACTTCCCTCATTGACACCTCTTCTTTTGAACTTATTTCAAGTTAACCAACCTCCTCCCTGTGGAAAGCCCCCTCTTGTCCCTTAAGCTTTTGATGGGATGTCTTAAAGTTGCTTTTCCATGTATTGGCAATTTTTACTAGCTAAACAATGTATAGAGTTGAAAATCAGTTAACTTTTTCCTGCTGGCCAGCTGCTTTCTTCAAACATCACCTTCTCCATGTTATTTAAAAATCACATCCTTTCCTCTCTAGCCCTCATGACTCTTTACTGTGTCTGTCTTTTAGCCTTAGCCATTATAGTATTTTACCATTTTGCTTCCATCTTTCAACAAAAGGTGCATTTGCCAATCATTGGAGTTAATCTCTCTTGTGTATTGATTTATTTTTCACTTGCAGAAACATGTAATAAATGTTTGGTTGATGATATTTGAATACATAAATTAATGGATGCCATAGTCTATGTTCTAGAATTCACAGATAAAAATCTTATTTCCTCCCCCATGTGAAATGTCTGCAAGATGACTGGGTCCTGAATGTGGGGTCTTCATGAAGGTTTTAGTGCCCTCTTAAAAGAAACTACAATGCAGAGAGCTGTCTAACCTCTTCATCATGTGAGATCTATGAACTTGGAAGTAAGCCGCCATCCATCATGAGTATGCTGTTACCTTGGCTGTGAGTGTTTGGATGATGACCTTTGGGAAACAATTTCTGTTCTTTATAATACCTCACTTGTTGTTTTTGCCATAGCAATACAGACAGACTGGAAAAGTAAAAGGGATAATTGGCTGTTTTGTTTCCCTCATTATTAATACTATTATTATTGTTGTTGTTGTTGTTTTGAGACAGGGTTTCTCTGTATTGCTTTGGAGCCCATCCTGGAACTCACTCTGTAGACTAGGCTGCCCTCAAACTCACAGAGATCTGCCTGCCTCTGCCTCCCGAGTGTTGGGATTAAAGGTGTGCACCACCAATGCCCAGCTTAGTTTGTGACTTTCTTGAGGGACAGGATTGGGTAGGCGTTGTCTTTGTGGGCTCAGTAACTCAGGCTTAGTCAGTGCTTGTTGAATGAGTAGGAGATAAGAACATTTGTCAAGGAGAACAAGGAATGGTGTTGTTACATAGGTAACATATCTCAGTTGTAACCCACAGTCATAAAGAAATTAAAAAAACACTAAAAACAAAACAAAACAACAACAATCAAAACAAGACTTGTATGTTTCCAAGTGACTCAGCTACAAACATTGGAAGATGGTCCTTTTCACCCACATCTCATCTGTCTCTGCTTCAGTCATTGTGTCTTCCCTTATCATAGCCAGGGTAATTGGCTGAATAACCATATGCAGGCATCTGGAACATTAAATTATGTGCTTCATACTGAACATGATTTTCAAAACCAGATTCTTTCCCCTCTGTGCCAGAATTACTCTTAAAACAAATTTATGTGTTTAGAGAAATTTCTTAACAGCTTTAATGCATTAAAATATTAATCATTACTAACCCTTATTAAATGATTACTGTAAGGCAGGGCAATAAATGTTTAATAGCCAAAGCTTAAAATAGAAACTATAAAACTTGCCTTCATGAAAGTGACAGTCAAATTGGGGAAACAGGAAAGCTAGGAAAAGGAGAGGGTATGTCCAAAAGAATACCATGCATGCTATTGTGTTTGTAAACTGAGCCAGTTGTGTATTTGTGGAGCTTTAGTGCCTCTGTGAGAACGTGGAAAACAAACTCCTGAGTGGGCTTTGAAAAGCCACCAGGAGGCTCCATGTGGATGTTATCATATTAACGCTCAAGGACTTACTGGTTTTCCTCCTCTGAGGAGCCATTTGCCTGCCCCAATTGGTAGACATGCAAATTCCTGAGCTTCCTCTGATCTAAGATAACTAAGCCTGCTGCCTCTGGAGAGTTCACTTGAGAGCCACAAATATCCTCAAAGAGAGAGTATCATATTCTGTGCTGTGCCATGTTTCTAGTGCAGAAAACTTTTTGGGTAACAGTCTTGAGCTATGCTGGTTTGGTATATATCCGTGATGCTCTCCATTGGGATACATTTATGATGCTTACCAGGCCTTCAGGAGACCTGTTGGAGACTTTAAAGATGGCAATTAAATTTTATAATCAAAGATAATTCTCTTGGGGAAGGAGATCTGTATACATATGTCAAAGAGTAATAGTTTCTGCCTACCCTTGAAAAGGATCAATGCCTGCCCTCTAAACTCTGTACCAGCTCCTGGTAGCCAGTGTGGGTAGACTAGGCTCCATTCTGGGAGCAATGAATGTCTGCCTTGTAGTGTCTACACAGTGAAGTGTTCGAATGAGTTCTAGATTAACGTCCCCAGTTGCAGCTAACAAATCCCCCAAAAGAGCAGAGTATAGAAACCAAGTAACATGAAGACTAAGAGAGTTTGGGTAAAATTAAATGAAAAAGTCAAGTTATTGTCAAGGGAAAGAAAAACACTGTAAAGCAAGAATAAGAACAGATCCCATAGTCACCTATAGAGTTGTTAATGTATGCCTAGGGAAGGGTTTAAAATGGACCTTGCTGTGAACAGGGCTCTATCTTTAGCCATGTGACTCCTGAAACTTAAACTAGGCAGTGAGGATCTCAATGTATGCCACATATGTGACACACAACAATACAATGAATTTTTCTAATGTTCATGCCTAATCTTATTCATCAGGCGAATGTAGCAGGATGGATGTGCTGTGCAGAATCTGTATATTTTGGAAATTCCTGCAAATTATATATGATTATCCTTATAACTTACACAAATACCTTAATAGATTCTCTTTCCACACAACCTGCCTCTTGGTGTTCACCTGCCGAAAACTTGATACCCCACTAGGTACATGAGAGAATCCCAAAGGCTAGATAGAACACTCCAGTTAGAAGGGACACCCCACATTGTTCTGATTGGCAGTTTTCCCTGCAGATCTTCAAAGGAGATTCTGGCCCTTGATGTCGAAATGACACCTGAACCACAACCAATGACAACCTCACATTTGAAAACAGATCCCACCTCATAGCCTGTATCCCATGCCCACCACGTGATACCATCTTCCCTTGTGCTTAGACTACACATTAGGAAACAGTAGACTACACACTAGGAAACATATGTGGGCTCTTCCTCTCCAGGGATACATATATCTTCAAGCGAAACTGCCATGGAAGAGGGGCATATGTACTTTGAGAAAAGGTTGAGAATTTTCTTCATTGCTGAAGCACTGCAAGAAAAAAAAAAGATAATAATGAACTGAAATTACCCAACCAAAGAAGACAAGCTGGCAGGTTGATTTAACACAGTCCTTTATGGGATGTAAGAAATCAATTTGATACTGCTTTTTGAAAATAATATGACATTAACTGAGCACCGAGTGTCTGAAAGCTGAGGAGTCTCAGAGTCCTTGCCTGCCTCGGGAGTTCCTGTACTTGCCAGCAAGTCACTTGGAACCTGTGGGTTTTG